AATCCACGCCTCCAATGTGGACACCGTGCTGTTATAACAGCATGATGCGTGACAAATACCAAAGTACACTGAAGAGTCCACTGCGTCTAACACAAAAAGCAATCCTTACAACATACCCACAACACCACATAGAGGTTATATATAAAGGTCTACATATAAACAGCGTGAAAGCATGAGAGAAACTTTTCCCCAAGGGACCAGAGCCAGATTAACGTGTTTCGAGATACAGGTTTGATTCATTTTCAGCTGCAGCAGATGGACCTTTGCCCTGAGCCAGATAAATGTTTAAACAATTGAATGTGAACAGAAGATCAGTATGCAACTCTATCCACCTGACTTGTAAAAGAACCAAGCAGTTTTAAATTCTAAAAGAAAGGGTAGTGACAGATCTATTTTCAGGTTATAGAATTCTGAGGATGCAGAATTGCTAGAAGTCTAAGGCAGAATAAAAATTAAAAAGGATACCAACTGTTAACTCTACACAGCAACTTAGAAACAGCTTTCTAAGGACACCAAAGTTATCAAAACATCAAGGTATCAAATATATCAAAATAGCACAACGTCTTTTGAAGTGAACTTTCAAAGTTCACCTACTGCAGATTTGTGATTATTATATTTAGCCACAGTTATCAAATACACATCTGCAACTAGTCAAAGGAGTAAGAACTTTCATCTCCTTTGTCTCAGTACCACCTTCCAACAAAGATGTGGCAGATGAAGTTGCAAAGATCTCAGTGAACTGGACTTCACACTTGTTATTTTTGGCAAATTTCCATCATCCTCTTGTTTCTCAAGCTTTTTTCCATCTCAAGGTCCTTATGTTTTTTCCTTCCTTCCCCTTGCACTTCCTTCTTAATCCATGGAGTTTCCAGTAAACTAGGTATCACACTAGTGCCACTCTTTAGTAGAAATGTTACTAAGGACACTTTCCAGCATTTTATTTCATTGTATTCATTTGGAAAAATGTGTGACAGTGTCTGTGTCCACAATATGTAACAGTAATTGAAAATAAATGAAAATACATTCACATCAGTAACAAATGGAACATGATAACTAATTTAATAGGTACTTATTTTAAAAAAATCAGGATTTTAAAATTGATTTTCAAGTTCTAGTGACCTAGATTTAATTTTCAGGTAGATTTTGAGAACACAATGTTATATATATAGGGAATCTGTCCTAAAGTAAAAAGGATACCAATTAAATACAAGTTCTGTATTGGTTTTTAGGAAAGCTCTTAATTCAAAATATAGTTAGCCCTTCAAGAAGTCTGTATGAATGACTATTGCAGACTATTTGTCTGTGCACATTGTGCCTTTAGATCTTCTAATTGTGAAGACATGTTGCATTTTAGCATCTGCTAAACACAGGTTCTTTAGGGTACTAGAACACCAGCTAGTTTAATGCCACAGCTGTCCAAGAGACCCGTATTACCTATATGCATTTGAAAAAAAAATAGTATGATCTTATATGGGTATTCTCACATTGTCAATAAACTCCATTTCAGAACAGTAATAACTTCAGAAGGAGACAGTCAATTAAAATGCACCATAGCCTCTATTTACGCAGGATTTGAAACTGCGGAAATACTTAGCTTGAACTCCAACAATTTCAGTAACCTTTATGCCTCACTTGGTGTTCACATACTGCCTTACAAATAAAAAACTGCAAACAGCTGGTACATAAATAATGTAGCACCAAGTTTGTGAGCAAGAACAACAATTCCCCTCCCCACCACCCCCAGAAAATTAAAGAAGTTTAAGACCCATAAAGGAAGAACTCTGCAGCACCTCTTTCAGTATATGGTAGGCAATATGCACAGATTATTTCCACCGCATAAAATACAATCAATCAGAAAACCTATGATAAGCAGCATCATTACTTTCTCAATTACTTTTATTAATGTTACAGTGTCACAACAGAAATTGAAATATTTATTTGCACATAATACAAAAATATAACCTTTCATAAAGTTTATACTGTGCTAGGAATCATGTATTGAACTTAAAATCAATATAAAATATCTGATATTAAATAATGCATAGAGATAGGTACACTCAGCCAAATAAATGCAATTACATTTTCTCCAACTTGAAGGCAAACATGCAAAGATCAGTTTATTACTTTATTGTATATGTACTTCCCAATTCAGGTGAGAGCTGTGAGCTAACTAACTTTTTCAAGTCTTCCTTTTGCTACTGCTCTCTATCCTCAAGCACAGTGGTTTTAAAAACAACTGACGAAATGAATTTTGGATAGTAGAATTCACTAGCAGTCACAGAATAGTGTTACTGAGGCAACCAGATTAAGGCACTATTATTTCCACAACAGACACACAAAATCACTGGCAAAAAGTAGTTTTAAAAGGCAGCTATGAGCTTAGCTATAATACCACAATAAAGATTTATTCTTTAAGTATGCTCTTGACAATATGTTACATTGACTAACATGGCTACTATTTGTTCTTCCAGAAAAGTAAAATATAAATCAAGACTTTGACATTGTTATATATTCAAGAATGCCTCCCTATATTGGGGTTAAGGAAGACTGAAAAAAACTTTCCCATCACTCCTCATTTTTAAAGTGGAGAAAAAAATAACTCACTTTCAAGAAAATTCTTGTACAGATTTGCATACATGCAAACAGTAAAAGTCCATTGAACTGGGGTTTTTTTGGTTGTTTTTTGTTGTTGTTTTTGTTTTTTAAGAAAGTATTTCTGACAGCAGATAAGTTTACTTTCTTTTAATATATTCCCACTAGGAAGACCAAAGTGTGCTGAAAATGACCAGGCAAGTTACAACAAAACTGTCTGAGTCTTTGGAGAGTTAAATTTATAAACAACATTAGCAACATAGATCAAAATGCTTATTCTAATATAGGATTTTACAGAAATCATTCTTTCCTCCCTTTGGCCTCTGCCATCAACAGGACTGACGAGCAACTCACCTGAATAACCACGTTTTGGCTGAAGCCATACACAGCTACAAGGACTCTCTGACTTGCTCAAGGCCTTTTCCCAAATACCCCATGAAACTGGCTGCAAGTTAAAACATTGTGAGCTGGAACTCCGGCAGGTTGACAGTGCCTGCCACAGAGAATTCCCATGTGGCTACCTTGACGCAGCTCTCAAACGCCAGGGTGAAATGCAGGATCAGAATGGCATAAGACAAGGAGGAAACTCATGACAGTGCATTGCACTGGGGTGGGGAGAGTAGATTTGGAAGCACACACATTATATACATACATACTATATAATTTTAACAAATATTTTCCAGATTACTATTAATTTTGACAATACACCCTCCATTTATCTGCACAAACATTTCAGAGCATAAAACTGAAATGATTTGTAATAAATACTCAGTATCTACTGAAGTGTTGATATATCATTCCAGCAATCCCCAAAAACTTTCACTAACCTGCAGCCAAAAGTTGGCTCGTACCTGCACTTAAGCGCAGGGGGTTGAAAGGATTTTCCTGTGCCTTACATTCTAACTTCAACCTTGAAGTCATTCATCCACTGTCAGCACAGTGAGCAACACAGAAGTTTTCCTCACCTGAGGCAGCTGCCAGCAGCAACCAAAATGCAGCTGCCTTTAGTTACCTCCTCTGCCTTTGGTCCCAAAGAGCAGAAATACTGTCAGACTTGTTCTGCACCCTTTAAGCCTGAACTTTCACAGCGCACCAACTTTCTCCATCAGTCACTCCTTGACCTTCAGTGAAACGCTTCCTCAGAAAGCAACTACACAGGTTATGTGTTGTCATATGCACAGTCAACTAGACAGAAGTATCCACCTCATATTCAAGTAACTCAAAGAGTAGCAGTCATCTCCTCTATTTCAATTAAAATTACAATAAATAATTCCAGTTAAAATGACAGGTACAACCACAACAGCTGTATAGCTTATCAAAATAGTAACTATACTGAATTATTCTTGTTACTGTTAACTAATCTTTGGCTTCCTGTACCGTAGATAAATTTTTGACTTGATTAATATAAAAATTTTCTAAGCTGCTCCCTACAATCCACAGGTAAGAATGACATAAAATTGGGAAAACAGTTTGGAATAACATTCTCTGCCTGAAAAACTGATAGTTTTCATTGAAGTATTTAACAGTCCTTAGGGGAGAAAGACATCACAACTAACTTTGGTCTTGTTCCACGTGTGCTTAGATACCTGAATCACTGGTAACCTTTGTATTCACGATTTTTCTGTAAAGACCTAAAATAGCCTTCTACTCCTTTTGCATGACTTGTTAAACAATCAAGTAATAGAAACAAACTTAAATAATCTTGTGTGGTTTTAGTGTTCAGTTCCAATCATAACTACCTAAAAACATAGTTGCAGGATAACTCTGGTAGGCAGCTAAGCACCATACAGCCACTAGCTCACTTCCCCCACACCCTCTCAGTGGGACAGGGAAAGAAGAGTGGAAGAACAAAAGCAAGAAAATTTGCGGGTCAAGATAAAAATAGATTACCAAGCCAAAAAAAATTGTGGAAGAATAAAAAAAGAAAACAAAACAAGTGATGCAAAGGCAACCACTCACCACCTCCCATGGGTAGACAGATGTCCAGTCAGTTGCCAAACAAAAGCCGGCCAACTTCCCTAAACCCCCTCCTCTCCATTTTATTGCTCAGCCCGACCACTATATGGCATGGAATGTCTGGTTAGTTGAGGTTATCTGCCTGGTTGTGTCCCCTCCTGACCCCTTGCACAGCCCCAGCCTATTCACTGGGGGAGCAGAGTGGGAAACAGGGAATCCCTGGATGCTGTGCAAGCACTGCTCAGGAATAGCTAAAAACATTAGTGTCTTATGTTCATTGTTTTGGTCATAAATCTAAAACACAGCACCATATGAGCTGCTGTGAAGAAAATTAACTCCATCCCAGCCAGACACACACATACATATATCAAGTGACGCATAATACATAGTAGTGCAAAGAAAAGAGCTCCATGACATGAAAAAGCCCCATGTGGTTTTGCTTAACGGTTTACCGTTTTGCCTTCTGGCAGATGAAAGAAGTTGTCTTCTTTGAGTTTAAGATGTTCTGGTAAATCAAGCTGTCTTTTTGCCTCTTCAATGTCTTCTTGAATTGCCAAAATGAGTGCCTCTGAAAAAAGAGAAGAAAAGCATTATTTAACAGCTGGTCTGAATTCTGAACACACAACAACAAGTGAAAAAGGGAGTACTACAGAACACCAAAAAAACAATCACAGAGGCGGAATACATTCATCATTATGAAGTTAGAAAGGCAACATTCTCTGTTTCTAAAATGACATGCTTTTGATGTGCTGCACTATTCACTGCTGTAAACACTACTTTTTCCTTGTTCCAAGACATTTTCTCAAAAATGTCAACAGAATTTCATTAACTGGTTCAGTTTTAACACATACGCATTTTAAAAGACCAGACCAATGCTTTTACAACACAGTCATGATTTTCAAGCTATTCCTCAGACTACTGACCTGACAACGTAATTTTTAGACTGAAATAAGTAAGTACTGATAATCTGGAAGTTGTGGGGGTTTGCTTCTTTTAATATGACCAATTTATGAATTAGTAGATTCAGCTTAAAAAAAAAAAAATCAAAACAACTTACTGAAAAGTCAAAGGTAAGACATAGAATCAAGCCGGAAAGGACCCATAAGGATCACTGAGTCCAGCTCTCTGCTCCTTGCCAGGACTACCTAAAACTAAACTATATGACTAAGAGCATTGTCCAGACACTTCTTGATCTCTGACAGGCTTGCTGCTATGACCACTTCCCTGGGGAGCCTGTTCCAGTGACTGACCACCCTCTCAATGAGGAATCTTTTCCTAACATCCAACCTGAACTTCCCCTGATGCAGCTTCATTTCAGTTGCTCATGTCCTGTTGCTGCTCACCAGAGACAGGAGATCAGCACCTCCTGCTCTGCCACCCCACCTTAAGGAAGTCATAGACTGCGATAAGGGCACCCCTCTGCCTTCTCTCCTCCAAGCTGAACAAACCAAGCGACCTCAGTTGCTCTTCCTAAGTCTTGCCCTTGAGGCCTTTCACCATCTTGGTTACCCTCCTCTGGAGACACTCTGATAGTCTGATGTCCTTCTCATCTTGAGGCGCCCAAAACTACAGAGTACTTGAGGTGGCACCACACCAGTGCAGTGTGGAGTGGGACAATTACCTCTCTCGACCAGCTGGTTATGCCATGCTTGATGCACCCCAGGACACAGGTGGCCCTTTTGGCTGCCAGGGCACACTGTTGACTCATATTCAACTTACCGCCAACCTCAACCCCCAGATCTCTTTCTGCAGGGCCACCCTCCAGCCCCTCGTCCCCCTATTTTTATGAATAACCAGAATTACCCCTTCCCAGGTGGAAAATCCTGCACTTGATCTTGCTAAATTTCATGCCGTTGGTGGTTGCCCAGCACTCTAGTCTATCCAGATCTCTCTGTAAGGCCTCTCCACCCTTGAGAAACAGCTAGGTGAAACAGCTGATTACACAAAACAGCTACCCTACAGGAAACAGCTGATGGTGAAGACAGAGAGAGAACAGTGACACAACACTTTCAATACCTAAGAACATGACAAACAAAACATTAGTAAGAGACCTGCAACACTGACCTAAAGAACTGAAGTTTTTTTCTGGTCGAATATATCCAATAATGACTATGCTAAGAATCTCTCCATAAAAGTCATCTTTGAAAGCATGGATAATGTGTGTTTCCTAAAAAGAAAAGAAATACGTTGACAATTATCATGACACATTTTGAGTTTATTTCCCTCGCTGCAAGGATGTTCAGCTAATACCTCTAATTCCAATTCTCTCCCACACGTATCAGGAAAACTGAGACACTTAGTCTAACATATAGACATATGTCTAACATATATAAGAGGCTAGAGCTTTTCATTATGTTAGCAGGGAAAATTGTACTTTGCATGGCACTCAGGAGCATTGTGATATTAATTTCAGTGGTAAGATTTTCAAGGCAACAAATCACAAATAACGCCTAGATTTCTTTGATCATTAAGTTGCTGAGTCCAAATAACTGTAATGAATCTGATTGGAACTGTTGTTTTAAAGAGAGCTTTTACAAGTAACCCACAGGAATTGGATGATAAAATTCTAAAAAGAATTAAAGCGGCTATCTTCAAAGCAGGGATTCATGTCAAAATAAAACTGCTTCCAAGTAATAGCAATTAAAACCAAGTTAAAGAATTAAAGCAGCTATCTTCAAAGCAGGGATTCATGTCAAAATAAAACTGCTTCCAAGTAATAGCAATTAAAACCAAGTTCTGCAAGTCTCAGGAATAAGCACCAGCACACGATAGCAAGAAAAACATAGATGCCACAGTTAAGGATTTTAACTCTGTCCTGTGACTGTTTATTTTTGGATCTTGATTCTACATATTAAGCCACAGCACCATGTGTATGGATTCCACCATTGAAGAGAAGAATTACTGAAAAATCATCACAAATTAAGACACCCCAGAAATTCATGCTTTAAATGTGGAGGGATTACAAAAGACAAGAGATTAATATGTTCCAGCTCATTTAAGGGGCCTCATAAGCTTAATGGATGTATTCAGTTTAGCAGTTATATTTATCTAGCTATAAGCACAATAAGCAACAACCACTTTGGGAATATGAATTTTGATTTCAGAATTATTTAAGTAATGATGGAAGAGTCAAATGAAAATAAATTTTATTTATCTACAGCTGCATGCACTATGGCTACTGAGGGGGTTTTAGGGATTTGTATTTTTTTTTCCTCCCCAGAACACATACATTTGAGATGGATACCAAAAACATTTCTGCCAGCAAACGGAATTTCTAATCTCACTTATGGATCAAATTCTGCTTATCTTATTCAAAGCCAATGTCTAGCTCGTTTATTACTATTAAAGTACCACACAAAGCAAAATTCTTACCACTGATTTCTTAATATTCTTATAGAAAGGATTCCATCCTACGCTCAAAACCATTTTATGTACATCTCCATTTCCAACACAGGCCCATCCATAGTATATACCAGTAGAGATATCAGATGGAAAGCTTCCGACTACTTGTTCAGAAAAGTTAGCTGCAAAAATTTTAGAAAGTGTACATTTGTGTAAGTAAAAGGCATCACAGATCTTTCAAACACCTGAAAGCCAAGCTCTGTCTACACGCAGAACACTGTTTACGATACTGATACAACCTGCCACTTGCAAGTATACACCAGAAAATAGCTTCATGAAATGTAGTCTATGTGGTAATACCAGAGTTATCACATCTCTTATAATACATTATTTCATAGCTACATAAGTTCTATTCTACAGTTAAATTAATAAACTAAAATATGCAGTTTGAATGCATTAGAACTATCACTGCTTTAGTATGGTCAAAGAACAGAAAAAATCAAGGGTTTTTTTTCACCGTAAACTAGCATCTTAGAATTACTTAAGTATCAGTATTTTTTTAAGTAAAATACATAAAAATAAATGAAGTCAGGATTTTAGTCACTTGCCAACTTTTTCATGTTGCCTTTAAGGTTATTCATATTTGGGGATTTCTAGGATTTTATTTAGAAAACTATAAATCTGAAACGAAATAGGTTCCTTCCTGACTGAGGGTATAAATCTAAGTGTTTAGCCAAACAATGGTCCTATTTTAACTTCACACACGGGTAAAGCTCTTCATACAAGGTTTCAAGCCAATTTTAAAGAATTTACAGTTAATGGATTTCTATCCTAGTTCAAGACCAGAAAAAGCTTCTATCCCACATTCCCTGCTATTAATAAGCCATATGTAAACAATCAAAAGAAAAAAAAACCAAACCAAAACCAACTAAGTTTACATCGACAGATGCTGTCACTTGTCCAGTATGTCAAGATTTGCTGTAGGAGGTTCTCTTGCATGTTGGGATTTGTGTAAAATGACCACTGACTTCAGCTGTCTTTGGCACAGAGGGGAATCCATTTGAATCTATCTGTATTCAGACAAGTCAAAAAGAGAATGGCAACGGGAGAACACGCTTCTCTTTACAGAATCACAGAATGCTATGGGGTTGGAAGGGACCTCTGGAGATCATCTAGTCCAACCCCCCTGCCAGAGCAGGTCCACCCAGAGCAGGTTGCACAGGAATGTGTCCATGTGGATTTTGAATGTCTCCAGAGAAGGAGACTCCACCACCCCTCTGGGCAGCCTGTTCCAGTGCTCTGCCACCCTCAAAGTGAAGAAGTTCCTCCTCATGTTTAGATGGAATTTCTTATGTACAAGCTTATGCCCATTTCCTCTTGTCCTCTCTTTAGGAGAGCTGCACTTTGATCCGCTTTTTTTTAATCTCTGCTTTATTCGCTTTACATTTCCTTCCCAGCGCCCAGTCCCTTCCTTGTCCTCATCCGAGGTGAAAGACATCGTTTAACAAAAGGTGGGGAAAATAACACGATTGAACAAGGCCGTAAGCAATGCAGAAAACAAAATAAAAAATAGAAATACACCAAAACCCACCAAAAATACTAACACAGAAGGCCCTGCCTGTTCCCAGAAGCAGCACGCCGCGCCACCAGCGCAGCGGTGAGGGGCACCTCGGCCGCTTCCCGGGATCCACCGGGCTCGGTCACCGGGAGAGCCGGGCGGCCTGGTCCCGCCGGGGCACAGCACGGCACGACACGGCCCCGCTCAGCCGGCCCGGCCACTGCAGGCCGCTGCAAGCCGCCGGGCCGGGCTCCCCCCCTCCCCGGGGACACCGGGAGAGGGACCGGCATCCCCCCGTGGAGCGGCCGAGGCCGGGAGCCCCAGCGGCCTTCAGGGGAGGCGCCACCCACCCTGGCCGCCCCGTTCCGCCGCGCAGCCCGCTCACCGGTGGGGATGCCCAGCTCCTTGGAGCCCCTGCCGAAGCCCTTCACCACCCCCCCGCGGCAGAAGTAGGGCAGGTGCCTCATGGCGGCGGGCGCTCCACAGACCCGCGGCCGGGGGAGCGCGGCTCTCACCGCCGCCGTGCTGGAGGAGGAGGAGGAGGAAGGGAGCACGCCGGCCTCCCGTTTACACAGCTCCCCGGCAGCCGCCGGCCTCCCGTTCACACAGCTCCCCGGCAGCCGCCGGCGTCCCCTCACAAACAGCCCGACCCCCAGCCCACCCATCCAGGGTCCGCCTCAAATATACGAAATTTGCACGTGTGCCATTCCAAACAGCAGGTTAACCAGCGTGTATTCAGTCTCTGCTGAATACACTCTGCCGCAGCAGGCAGGCCGAGCCGGTCTTTTTATGTCCAAGTGGTGCAGGTGCCAGGTAAGTCTCGGGGGCCTTACTTGGGACTGCTACAGGGTACTTAACACATTCTGATGTAAAAACACATAACAATATCTTGAGAGATCACCAAAGTCTTCGCAGGGAATCCCCAGTCGTTTCCGATGTGCCTATAAGGCACAGTTTGATGTAACTTGTTATAAAAGGGCTGCTGGAGCTGCCTCTAGTTGGGTGGGTTTTTTTTCCAAGGAAAAGCAGCCTGAGCACCTGTAACGTGCTCCTGTCTCTCGCGTTCAAAGCCGATGGTGGCCAGTTCATTCCAATGACGGGGAGCTGTCTTGAGAAACTGGTGATATGACACCACAAAATTCTAGGAGCTACCAATTCACAGATCTGTGGGCACTGTTTACTTCATAGAATAAGGCCAAAAATTACTTAAAAAAATATTCCACCTTAAATTTACCCTCTTTCTAATTCTTTTTTTTCTCATCCTAGTCCCCCACCATCTGTTTAATGCTAACGTTTTAATTCATCGCTTCCGTTTGAGTAACTTTGACTGACTTACAGCATCGTTGTTTACATATCTTCAGCTGAACAAAAAATAATGGTGGTAATATATATAAAAGAAGGAAAAGTGGAAGAAAAAGTAAGTCCTATGCTACTACAGCATACATTCAGTTTTGCTGTCTCACAGCATAGGGAGAGAGATGTTACAAAAAGGTTGGTTTAATGAAATTTAGTAGTGGAAGCATCTTCAATATTAAGACCAAATACCAAAGTTGTTACATAGTTGTCTAACTAATGACAAGCCATAAAGTAGATAAGGTGACCACTCCTCCCTGGAATTTTTAGTTTATTTCAGCTGTAGAACAAAAAAAAATACCGTGAGGTGGGTACATTTATATTTTTCATAATATGTTTCTTCCTGCCAATAACAAATTAGGCCTTCAGTTATCATTTCTATATAAGCAGATGTGTGCTTGCCTACTTCCATTCTTTTTAAAGTCTTTCTAGAATAAATTTTTATGTTCTTGTGGCATCCACAAGATGGCACTCAATCTGTTTTTCAATATCTGCAGGCTTGGGCACAGGTTTTGCGCACAGGATTTACAATCTTATCTCTGTAACAGAAGAGATCTTGAGAAAGAGTAAGTCAGATAAATATTTGCCTAAAAACTACATGGCTAGAAATTTCACAGAAGTCTTACTGACAACTGGTAGCTCATTCTGTCAAACAGTTGTTAATCCTTATTCTCAGTCATTAGACATGTTTTTCTCTTGTAATAAATTGTACTTAGTTCAGCTTGGAGGGAGGATTGTACATAAGTAGAATTTAACTACCTGTACTAAAATGTAGTCAACATGTTTCTTCACAAAGTATAGTTTCATTTTAGTCACAAACCTGTATGCCAACAAAAAAGCAGTTTGGTAGCTCATAGCTGAGGTAAGAAAACTCAGGCACAGCTGGAACTCTCACACTGCTGGAGAAGAATTTCTGCTCTGTGCTGATGCTGCATTTTTTACATCTATTGCTGTTAGTGAAAAGCCTTCAAGTGTTTTTTCTACGTACATAGTAGCCATACAAACCTGAAGAAAAGAGAGTAGGTGCTGTGTGTCATCTGTGTAGCATTTCTCTTGTCCAGGAATAGCCTGTATCAGCCTTCACCTCTTCACTCCTTATAGAAGACTGAAAAGGCCTCCTTAATTTTTGAGGTGCAAGTAGCATCACAAAGAGAAGATGAAAATGATGCCCTAGTGACTCACACTGCAGGAAGGAGGCAGCAAAGGAAATGGCTGCAATGTTTTTCCCACTTCCCCATTATTCCTTAAGCTCACTCTCCTCATACTTTCCCAGTGCTGTACCTCGGCGTGACAAGGAGGCCTTGAGCAACAGAGGTTGCCATTACAGCCCTGTTCCCAAGCTATGGGATGACTTAGCAATGAGGAGAAACTCTGGTGAAAGTGTTCTCACTGTTAAAAGGATCCAGATGTTTACAACACTCCTGCCGTCACCAATACGTGACACTGTCTCCTGGGCACCTGCCGGGCATGTCTGCATTCGTTACAGCACTACCATCTGCTTATCCAACGGCACTGGGAGCCTTGCAGAAGACACTGAGGGGTTTGTGACCATGAGCAAACCATGTCTATTGCACCTTGTACTTAAGGCCTGTGTGTTCGCATGAGGGGATGCCGTAAGGGAGCCTGTGGGAATGACCCATGCTGCGCGCTGGTGATGCCATGACAGAGATAATGTGACAACCAAGGGTCTCTTCCACCAACCTAGACGATTCTGTGATTCTATGAACCTCTCAGGAGAAGACATATGTTCCTGTTCATCCCACAAAAGAACAGCATGGGAGGGAGGACAGAATCTGCACAGCGTGCCGTGAGGGAAATCCATCCATCTGATGCTGCATAAAACCAGGGTACCCTGCGCGTGAGGGGATATAAGTTTTACTCACTATCTCTATTCCTCTTTTTATTGCATTAAAACCACTGTTTTATTAAGCCATTTCTTTCAGGCCTCTCTTGCAGAGATTCAGAAGCAGCCCTGCACCATTTCTCTTTCTTTCCCATCTCACCACCCACCCAAATGCACAAGAGCAGACCCTCTTTCACCTAGGGCAGCACTGGAAAATACCAGTCCATGGGTGTTACCCAAAGTTGACATAATACATCAAATCTCCCACAGGAGTGCCTGAAAAGCCATGTGTTCAGGCACCATATCTCTTTATGTTAACATAGTTTCTTTGGGATAACATATAAAGTACTTTTATGAGGGTGGTGTACAGAAAGACTGGCCAGAGAAGAATTTTGTAAAAAATAGATAACTTGCTGAAAAATGTTCTGCTGATTCTAGTAACCCTGCTATAAAAAAAAAAAAAAGAAAAAAAATTTAAAAAAATTTAAAAATAATCCTCAAAGGTAAATAATGTACAGCAAAAACATGGCTGACTGAAAATTCAGAATAATAGAAGTACTGCCAATTTCACAGAAAGTTGACAAAATTTCACCATATCACAAAGAAGTAAAATGGTGAAATCTAAGCAGATGTTGAAAGCTTGATGACAAAGAAGGAGCGAAGACAAGACTCTAATGTTGTGCATGTTAATAACATTGAAAGAAGCTTTGGCTCCGTGGTCTTACACTGGCGTTAATTTGATTTGGTAGTCTGGAAGAAAAGCGTTGATCCCGTCACAGAAAGAACTGAAATACATTTAGATAGGGTCAGAACAGATGCAGTTTATTACTGTCCCTAAAGGAGAGAACTCAGAGCAGCAGTCACCATCCCTGCTGATAGGAACTCTGCCCACATGGAGCAGTTACAGGGTTAATACACCTGCAGGTTGTATGACTCCTTCACCAAAACTAAGCCAGATAAGCAGGATACGGTAGATAACAACAGTGATTTCAGTCCTTCAGATAAGGAGGGTCTACACAGTGCATCCTTTTACAAATAATCCGCTCCTTTTATGAATAACCCACTCCTTTGTAATTAAATCTTGCTGCCTGGCAAGACTGTTAGTTGCCTATGTGTGTTAACCAGGGAGGACTGCAGAGGCCTATGAGACATTAACTATTCTTCTACTGGATTCTTTTTTTAGTTGTGGGGTTTTTTTTAAAGTAGCAATGTCAGAGAATATAGCATTAAATCATTTTAGTTAGGTACTTTTTGCCAACAACCCTGAAGTCTGTAACATCAGCAAAATGCAGATAGGAAGCTAAAAAGTTGTTTCTGCGACAACCGATGGTAAAACACTGACATAAAAATGTATGTATTATAATGAAATCAAAGATGCTGCTCACATTGTACAGGACCACATAGGTTGAATAATTTCTAATGGAAAGGAAATACATGTTTATCTAGAAAAAATATGAACACTAGAAGATACAGAAGTTTACTGTGAAATTGTTTCTCTCTGCTAAAACAACTAAACATCAAAACATCTTCAACAAAAGGAGGAAGGATAAATGAGTCCAGAATTTAAATGGAAAAAATCAGCTGTGAAATAGTAATAGATCATAGAAAATCGAAGGAAAGGCTTGAACAGAGGATTGCAGAGGCAAAGCTTGCTGTCTGTCAGATGGATCCTGCAATTAGATCAACTGAAAGCAGAGACTGAGTTCTGAAATTTATGAAATCCAAGAAAGTAAACCAGCTCAGACAGTAACTCAGAATCCATGAATATATACATATTTAAAGAAAAAAAAAACAAACTTTTTTTTTTTTTTTAAATGGTTATATACCTGGTGATGTAATTATTTTTATCTTTGCTTTGGGAAATGGGACTTTCTATGATAATTGGGACTGTTACTAAATAAAATTTGAAAAATATAGAGCAGTTGAAGTTAGTATAACTTGTTAGTTTCTCAGGTTGCTCTCTCAGGAGGAGCTTGACTGATTGTCCTCATGGTTTACATTTCCTGTGGTTAAAATACAAGCTTTTTCTGGTGTTCTGGTTTCAGCTGGGATAGAGTTAATTTTCTTTCTATTAGCTTCCGTGTTTTGGATTTAGTATGAGAATAATATTGATAACACATATAGTTCTAGTTGTTGCTAAGTGATGTTTACATTAATCAAGGACTTTTCCATCCTCCCACAGAAGCTGAGATGAAGCATAGACAGGACAAGCTGGCCAGTGGAATATTCTGTACCACAGACATCACGGTCAGTATATAAATGGGGGCAGACCAGGGGGTGGGAATCCATGATCACTGCTTGGGATGGGCTGGGCGACCAATCCACCCAGTGGTGAGAGTGACTCGTGTTGTATTACTTTCTTGTATATTCTTTTACCAGTTGTCGCTATT